ACTGGATTTTACAACACTAGAGTGAACCTTAACGCAAATCATGGACTTTAACAATGTCTTAATTTGGTTGTTTCATCAATTGTAAAAAAGCATACCGCATGAATATAAGATATTAATAGAAATAATATGCTGATGGGACCACTCCTGCCGGCTGACGTTGAGGACAAAGTCCAGCGACAGATGACCCGACTTCAAAGAAGTCGGACTGTAGGAATTGGTTGCCGGAATCCGCTCACAAATTGTTTTGTTGTTGCCGCTATGATATTCTGGAGTATGTTTATGTTTTATCCCGGACCATGTAAAAATGAAACCATTATTGCCACTATGAGCAATAACGAGACCACGATAAATAATTCAGGGGAAATCACAGTATCCATTAAGAGAAGGGATGCAAATGATAGAATGATTGAGTTAATTATCAAAGCCATACAAGGGAATGAAAATTTTGGTATATTTATGGAAAAATGCAAAAGTTAGAATTGGAACAACCCCAACTGACTACAGTGACTCCTAAGAAGTTCCCTATGACTGCCTTTTTGGGAAAGAGTGCCAAAGATAAAAAACAACTTTTAATTCACTCAGTAAAATCCCTTAATAAATTTGTTTATAGTAAAGGGGACAGTAATGATAAAACCCCTAAGACTACTCTCCCTCTTTTGAATTACACTGGCATTTATGACAACAATGGAGAACATATTATTGAGGTAAATGGGAAGCGTGTAAAATTTTTAAACTTATCTCTATGGAAAAGAATAAAAGGGGGTGGCCAAGTTTGGTGTGTTAGATCTATTACAGAGTGGATTGTGTAGCTAGTGCATAATGGAAACAAGAGAACAGTGGAAGCCCCATTGAAAAGGCAGGTAAAAGAAATGGAACGAAGGCTTAAAGAATATAAGATTGATGAAGCATAGAAAGAATATTTAGCTAACTTAGAACTTTGTATTTTAAGTTTGTATTTTAAGTTCATGCCAGTTTTCTCCTATCCACTTCCTTGAACTTGAACAGTTTGGCACCATTACCACAGACCTATTTCAAGAACCATTCATGTCTACAGTTAATCACAATGTACGTTGGTCAAGATTGAAAACTTAAATGAACCAGCCACCCAGAAAGAACGTTCCGAGAAGATTTAAACAGAATGCCTTGGAAAACTTTATGCCTTGCAGCTTTTAATATTAGATTTTTTTCTTTCCGCTTTGATTGTAAGATTGTGAGAAAATATTGTTTAAATAGAACCTTAAAATTGTAATAAAGCAGCAGATGATCACTGACTCCCGACTCTGCTCATATCTCTCTCTCTCTCTCGTCGCCTTACCCACCGAACAGGGGACCCTTCACCCCCGCCGCGGCAATATGCAAAAGGAGACAGGGTTTATGGGAACTTAGTCATTTCTATACATTTTTCCCCTGCAACCTTAAAATTGCACCAAAGAAAGTCTATTTTAAAAATTGAGTGTGGGCTTGAATAATTCTAGATTTAATTATGTTACTTTTGATTATTGCAACAGCTTGGTTTTTGGTTGTTTGAGGTGGCACTGAACCAGTTCTTACTCACAGTAACCCTCTGTACAACAGAAAGAAAACACTGCCCAGTCCTTCACCATCCTCATAATTATATTAGAACTATGCTTGTACTTGCCTAACACGATAGGATTCACATTTTACTGATCAAACTGAATTTAGGGAGGTAGGTAGTTAATGGGAAATCTTATACTTTCCAATACCCAATACTGCATACCTATTTGTACAGTAGGGAGAGTGGATCATTATATGATGACAATTAGCAAAACTTCTTGAAGGGTGGTCAGACAGCCTTTAATCTGGTGGAAATTGGACTGTCTGTAAGTGTACTCGTCTATTCCAAAGTTTTTCTCACTCTAAGCATTCAGTATCACTACCACCCACCACCTGGATACTCTGCTTTAAGATGACTCGTTTTGTTTATTTCCTGAGAAAGTAAACATTCTTATGTGCAACCTGTATCAAATCTGCCAATTAACAGAACTATATTTGAAGTTAGAGATTCTGGAATGGATATCCAGGTGCTAGTTTAAGGCATATCCTCCATTATACACTAGATCCCATGTTTTCAGACTCTAGGATATTGCTTCTGAAGATATCTACTTTTTCCTTGATCATTAACTTTTCTTTGTCCTAGATCATTATTCAACTAGTAAAATGTACGAGAACTTTTGTTTTATCACTAAAACAGACACCTAGATATAATTTTAGTTAATGTCTCCCCAAAGCAATTGAGACTTCTAATGCTAGCTGTAAGATCTGATTGTTATAGACTGCTCACTTATTATAGTCATTGTATTAAGCACTTCACAAATGTTTTCCTAGTTAAATCTCAGTGTTTCCATGCTATGCATAAGGTTTTCAGTGGCTCCTTCCTCTGAAGTGGACAGCCGATTCCTTCTTCATTGTCTGGAAGCTCTGCTAAAACCTCTGCATTTTGTTAGCATTTGAAATACAAGACAGAGCTTCCAGCATCACCGCAACACACAAGCCACCACCGTCTGACAGACAAGTGGCGCATGGTTTAAAATCAGGAAAGGTGTTGTGTCAGGGTTATATCCTCTCACCCTACTTATTCAAATCACCAGAGAAGCTAGATTATATGAAGAATTATATGAAGACTCGGGATGGGAGGAAGGTTTATTAATGACCTGTGATATGGAGGTGACACAACTTCGCTTGCTGAAAGTGAAGACTAGGTGAACTTCCTGATGCAGCCTTCAGTAAGGATTACAACTCAAATGTAAAGACCCAAATCCTCACAGATGAACCAGTAAGTAACATCATGATAAAAGGAGAAAGGATGAAAATTGTTAAGGATTTCATCTTGCTTGGAACCACAATCAGTGCTCATGGAAGCAGCAGTATAATTCAAATCTGCTGTACAAAACCTTTTGGTGTGTTGAAAGAAAGAATATTGTATTGAAGAGTAAGTGTGCCTGGCCCAAGCCATGGTATTCTGATTGCCTCCTATGCATGTAAAAGTTGGACATTGAATAAGAAGACTACAGAACTGATGCATTTGAATTGTGGTCTGGAGAAGAATATTGAAAGTACAATGGACAGCTAAAAGGACAAACCAATCTGTCTTGGAAGAAAGACAACCAGAATGCTCCTTAGAGGCAAACATGGCAAGACTTTGTCTCATATACTTTGGACATATTGTCAAGAGGGACCAGTCCCTGGAGAAGGAAATCATGCTTGGTAAAGTGGAGGGGCAGCAAGAGAGGAGGGCCATTAATGAGACTGACTAACATATTGACTGTTGTAATGGGCTCAGGCATAGGAACTGTGCAGAGGGCACAGGCCTGGGCAGTGTTTCATTCTCCTGTGCATGCACAGGTTCACTATGGTTGGAACTGATTCTATGGCACCTAACAATTCCCAGTTAATTCTCACAAGTTTTAAAATAGATCATCTTCATTTTACAGATAAGGAAAATAAGGCTTAGAGATTAGTAACCTGCCCAAGGTAACAGAGTTAGTAAATACTAGACTAAGATTCAAACTGACTTCAGTTTGTATTTTTAAAGTGATACACTAAGGATTATGTAATGTTAATTGCATGCACACTAATGCAGGTAAGGTTTAATTCACTTTATAATATTTATATATTTAATGCCATTTAATAATATAAAAATAAAATTAAAGTTACAAAACCCACAAAAATTTCTCATTTACAACACATTCACATTATCACATATCTTATAAAAGAAAAATTCAAGCATACCAATAACTTGACGATAAAAACTTATCTAGTCCAAAAGTTTTACAGTTAGGTCATTTGAGTTAAAAAATATGGTTATCCTGTTTTATGCAAAAATTTAATAAAACTAATGTTAAATGGAATATCATAATTTTATACATCAATGGAATTACATTGAAAAATCAGAAATGGTCACTGAACATTGAGTATCTACTAGTACTACAACCCAAATATTACATATTTCTTTACACTTGAGTAAACAATGGAAGAAAGTCTGCTTCATGTTTGAACCAGAAATTTGGAAAACCTTGCAACAAGGATGAGAAGCATTTTTATTTGACCTTTACTTTCAATGAAAAATAAAGCTGGTGTCTCTACATTCACATAAGTATGTATAAAGGGTGTTTCTAGCACTGAGTTTCCAAGTTTGCTGAAGATGGAATTTGCCTATAGAGTTTAAAAAAACAAAACAAAATCAAGGTCCACATACAAAACCCCAACAATCAAACCCACTGCCATGGAGCCATGGAGTAGAACTGCCTCAGGGGGTCCCAAGGCTGGAAATCTTGACAGAAGCAGATGGTCCTATCTTTCTATTCAAGAGTAGGCTGGTGGGTTGACCTACTGACTGACCTCTTGGTTAGCAGTCAAGCCACTTTACCACCTGTGTCACCACGGCTCTTTTATGGCCCTTTAAAATACGGATTTAATTGGTATAAGGTAGGCCTTGCACATACGGAATATTTTAAAACTACCTACATGATTCTAATGTGAAGAAAAGCTTGAAAATTACTATCTTAGGATACTGTCCTAGAATTATAGAGGTCAATATTCAGCTTGCTTTGCTTGTAGTGGATTAATAGCTATTAGAAAATTAATACTAAAAAGTGAGATTCTATTTTCCCAGATCTGGAGCAACGACAAGCACAATTCCAAAACCATCAAGTTTATTGCAACATAGAGACCCTATGAGGCAGAGTGAAACTTCCCCTGTGCATTTCTGAGGCTGTAAATCTTTATGGGAGCTAAAAGCTTCATTTTGGGGTTTTGAACTACTGACCTTGCAGTTAGCGGTCAAATGTGTAATCCACTACACCACCAGAGATCCTGACATAAAAAAAAACCAAACACCATACTCACTGCAGTGAGTCGATGCAAACTCATATCAACCCCTATAGAACAGGGTAGAATTGCCCATGTGAGTTCCCCAGACGGTAACTCTTTATCACAGTAGAAAGCCTTGTTTTTCTCCGACAGAGCGGCTGGTGGTTTTGAATTGCTGACCTTGTGGTTAGCAGCCCAAAGAGTAACCACTATGCTACCAGTTCCTACATATGTACCCTTTGAATTAATACGCGAGTGCCTTATAGTTCTTTTATTATATTTCATCTTTTAGTAGATACATGATCATAAGAATTCAAAAGATTTTTTTTGGAAAAAAAAAAGACAGTGATTGAATCAATTGGGATAAATGCTTAAGACAAAATATAATTTTAAACACGTGTGCGCACGCGAGTGCATGTTATATATATATGAGGGGAGTTCAAAAAGTTCATGAAAATAATTTCATTATCTTTTCATTTCATTTCTCCATAAACCTTTCAAAGCCCCTTTTAGGAACTCATACATGCATAGTTTAAAAATACACACATACACATATATCTAAATAGACCAAAACCAGAAAAAAAAAATACACAAAGGAGTGCAAGTTTAGCAGTTGAGAATTGTCTTCAATTATTTTTCACATTCAAGTACACTAAGAAACAAAGTAAGGAACTTACTAGCATTTTAGCTAATTATGCATAATCACATATCAGATAAGTTTTCTTTTAAAAACAGAATTATAGCTGAATCTTAAACACATGTCAATGTTCAAAATGCAAGTAAATAAAATCCTTATATACTTCACAATTTTTCCATAGTTCTATTAAAAAGATTGTTTCTGGTTAAAATATTTGGATCACTTTTTTCTCTTCTTTGCTCTTAGTTGAGATTCAGTATTTTGTTAGAAATCTCACGTTGAAAATGCATTTATGAAAGCTATTTTGATATCTCTTGACATCCTATTTAGGAAAACTTCATTAACAACAGACATCCTTTTTAGTATACAAGTTTTCAGATATGGCTTCATTTATTAAAATTTCTTAAGTATATAATTTTTTAGTCAGTATCTTAGACTACGAAACTTTGGTTTTCTTAAAATCAGCATTGGTTGCTTGATTGTAGGTTTGTCGCCAAAAAGTGCTGCTTCGCTCTCAGTGGTTGGAAATCTTTTCTGATATATCAAAGGGTATTCCTTCTGAAACTTAAATTGGAGTTGAGATATTAGAGGGTGTTTAGCACTATTTCACTGGCTTTTACAAAGATGCATTATCGGGAGGAGTCACCTTTCTACTTTGTCCCAATCACCCTACTTTTCTTACATGTGAAAGACTATAAGATCTTAAATCTATTAACATTCTAGGATTTGCTTCTGCTGAATCCTGCCTACCCCTGCCTCCCTCCCACCCTACTGATTTGCTTCCTTCTCACTTATAAAGCCATAGGTCAGAGAGTATATAAGTCACGCAAAGATACTTCGTATACATCAAATTTTCTAACTGCCCTGCCAGACGAACTCAGAAATAATTATAGGAGACAACAGTAAGTAGTAAAGGAGAGTATCGATTTTAAACAAGAAACTGATTCTATAATCAACAGCAGCATAGTAAGAATTGATGCATAATATGATTTGAGAATCAGCTTATCCTCTTACCTGTTTTAGTTTTTTTTTCTTCTCCTTTAGAGGCAAACTATTGTTTTTAATAATATTCTCTAAAAGTTCTGCAATTGCAGCTTGAGAGGTAGAAATTTTTTGTTCATCAAACTCTTCAGCACTTATTTGCTTACAGTATGAGTAAGTTGGCAAAGGATCAATCAGTCCATCTCCAGGAATTTTTATCTGTAATAAACACAATGAAACAGTACAAAGTCACTAATTCTGCTTATGCTCATATCTGGTGTTATTTTGGTGGAATTTAGCACCTATTAATTTATTACCAGTGAGATGGTCAGCACATTAAGAAAATGGTGTATTTAGCAGTATAGAATAATGATCAATCAGTAGGATTTAAATGCTAGTTCCACAACATACTAGCTTTGTAGCCTTCAAAGAAACTAGTTTTTCTTGATTTGTTTCTTCAACTGTAAAATGGGGGAAGCACAAACTAATGTATAATAAAGTACCATATATACTTGTGTATAAGCCGAGTTTTTTCAGCACATTTTTAATGCAGTTTTTGTAGTAAAAATTATGTGTCTCGGCTGATATTCGGGTCGGCTTATACTTGAGTATGTACAGTACTCGGCACATACTAAGCATTGACTTAATTTATTAAATAAATTATAACTATTAATCCTATGTTTTATTCTTTTCACTGTAAAATAATAATCTAAGTGATATTTTAATTGATTTGGAAACATGAACGTTCTGACTCAGTGAAAGTTTGTCATTTATTGTTTTGGAGGTCCAGGGGAAAGAAACGAGGGTCGTTACTGGAATGGTCTGTTAGGAAACATGACTGTATGTGTGGGTCTGCCACCAACGGACTAGAACAGATTCTACTGTTTTGGGCTACTTAGCATTGCTTCTCTGCTTTTTGAACGGTTTCTTCCCAGTCTACTCCCACTCCCCTCACTTTCTTTGAAGAGCGGATTCTCCTCTACTGCCAATCAGAGTCTGTACACCCCTGCCTATTCCATTCCATTCTATTCACGCTCACCTACGTAAAGGATGAGCATTTAACTCAGATGGGCCAGTGTCCAAACCCAGGACTTTCAAAACAATAGGTCAAAGGGTGGTTTTGGCTCAAGGGCCTTTTCAAGTTACATATCTGACCACATGAAAGAGGAATTTGCAAACACAAAACCCAAAGGAAAAAAGACAGAAACAGAAAAGATGGAAATTGTCTACATTTCTGACTTTTTAAAGGCTAAGCTGATTAAGTCCTCTTTTTATTTAGGGGAATTTGAAATGAGTTTCTAGGTGCAATTGGCTAATGCAGAGAATACCCACCTGACCGCTTCTTAAGTAGTCAAGATGTTTCTCCACTGCAGTATGTAAGTAAGAGGGTACTTGAAGAATTTCCTGATGGTGATCCATTAAGAAGGAAACTAATCTTGCAGCAAGAAGCTCATCAAGATCTACTTCTTCTGCACAGCATAGCACACAACGAGAAAATGTCCGTACCATCTAGAAACATGAAGATGGGAAGTAAGAACCTATTGCTTTATATACAGAACATTAAGTTTTATCAGTAGAGCAGTACTTTCAGGTAGCATTATGCTAAAGCCCTGAGATAAAGTGATAAGCAGTTTCAGTTTAAAACTGAGGCCAATAATTTATTACAGTTAGATAAGGATGCCTGCTATGCTTAAGTCCTCTTTAAAGTACTTGTTAAGTATTTTCTTAATGTAATTCCCAAAAGATTAAACAAAGCCTTAGGCTTTTCTTTAATTTTGTCACAATTTTATCAGTAAATACCAGATGTTCCATTAATCCCTTATAGACATAAGTTGCTTAAATTTGAAGATTACTGGAGAACAATGGATTATGCATTAATCTCACACAAAAAACCAAGATGTTGAAATATACAATATATAGAACTCATCAGCAGTTGCAAAATTGGTATCATTTATCTTTTGAAATGCTGAAAATTATATTTTAATGTTTATTCCATCAATTTTTAAAAGCAGTACAGAACATATACATTGCTTAATGCCATCTTGATGGATCTTCAAATTTTGGATACATTTTTTCCCTCAATACTCATTTATATTCATTTAATGCAATACAAATACATGTACACACTCATACTAAAATAATTAGATTAGACATTTATTTTAAGCATTATGTGCATAGTAAGTGATTATACATCCTTACTGAACTGAAATATTTTCGGTTCTACTACTACACAGTAGGCATTTTGGGGGGCCTCTTTCTAAGAATCAGACCTAAGTTATTTTCCCCTGTATGTTAGCACTGGGTAGCTCATCGACTCTCACAACTTCACCTTCTAACTCTAGCTGTTTTGACTGGACCTTCTCATAAAGGTTCAAGTCGCACCGTAATGACACAAAGACGTGCATATGACTGAGAGAAGTTGTCTGGAGCCAAAATTTCCACAGTGCCCACACATTCCCACCGAATACAACTGGCACAAGGCAATAGAATGTGGTCTGCCAGACTGGGTCAATCATTGTGAAATAACAGAGGATAAGGGAGCAGCAAAGTCAAAGGTAGCTATGAAGCCCAGAATGTGGAAGTGTAACAGACTGGGCACAAATGATTAATGAAAATGCAGAGATTCTCTAATTCAAGAATCTGAGATTTCAAGTCAAAGACACTACTAGAGTAAAATAAAAAAAACCCCAAAACCCCCAAACCTTCACTGCCATCAAACCAACACTCAGTGACTTTATGGGCTGATTAGAATGGCCTCTTTGGGTTTCTGTGGCTGCAAATCTTATGGAAGCAGAAAGCTTCATCTTTCTTCAGAGGAGCAGCTGGGGGTAGGTTCACACTGTCCACCTTGAGGTCAACAGTCTAACGTGCAATCCCCTACACCAGGCTCTTTCCTACTACAGTCGGACTTTGAAATGAAGTTTCTGTTTTGGGTTTATGAACTAGAGCTTATAAAGCTTCTATGGATTAGAAGTGGCTCAACAGTGGGTTTGTTATTTTGGGTGTTCTTTCCTTTAGAAATAAACTTACCAGTGATCTTGTACCCATTGCATCATGGAGTCTGGGCATATCAACATTTTGACTCATACGCGAAATCATACGCATTAAGAGTTGAAGCTTTCTACGATTTGGTGGGGGAAGTAACAAGCAACATAACTGCAGAGCGTCGATGGCAACCCTCTCTAAATGAGGCTGCAGCAAACCTAGAGGGTAAAGTTACCCAAAAAAAAGGAAAAGGGAAAAAATCACCAAGGCCTTGAACTCATGCTAGCATATAGAAAAGGTGAAATAAACGAAATAAGGAGAGCAGAATCACCTTTTTGTATTTTCTTTTTTGACTGTTTCTATAAACTACTGTTCTACAAATGAAACCATTGTTTTCTCCATAAACTATTTCCACGTGTCAGAATTGGACCCTTTACTTATTACAAATAGAGCGACCCAGAATAAGTGAAACTGAAGGGAAAGAAAGTAAGTGCTTTAGAAAACTAGAGTAAATCCTAGTCGTGCCATGAAAAAGTCCCTTAGATAAGAGACCCTTTGATTCTACTGGGGGGAAAATTAAAGCAATTCATTGAAGAAAAATTAGGAAAGCAAGAGATAGGATTAGTAAACACTGAAAGTTAATAATACATGCATTGAAGGCATCAACCTTACTTTGTGTGCCAGCCAACATAGAAGGTGGAGAAAAAGAATTTTCTGAAAGTTCTATTGTGCTTTTGCAGAGTCTTTTACTGAATGTGGCAGGTTCTCCAGGTTGACTTTCCGTAGCTGTTTGTGCACTTGTGTTGCCTTGTCCAATTTGATTGATATGATCTGGTCTAACGGTAATTTCAGCCACTGGTGTATTGATACAACTACTCTTTCTTGTATTACTTCTTAAAAGCAAACTCTGAGACCTACAAAGCTGCTTTGGCTTGCAGTTCCCATTACATAACTCTTCTTGGTCTTGAACAGTCAAAGTAGAGGTTCTCTTATAACCAACAGAGAGTGGCTTTTGATAATTTTCCTTTGAATGAAGACTTAATAAGGGCTGAGGCTCTATAAATTGTTTATTGTTTTGTACATCTGAATGCACAACAGATTGGTGGAAGACAGTGGAGACATCTTTACTTGAGCTATGTGATACATCTACAATTCCTTCCAAAGAATAGCACCTCGATTTGATGTTAGAAGACTGAGCATGCATACTACTCAAGCCTATTAAATTATGACAGCTTCCTCCCATTATGTTATTAGCACTGGCTCTTCTGTTTCTTAATTTAATGGGTTGCATTTTCTTAGCACATCTTTCTTTAGATCCTTGATTACTTTTTGTCAGTTTTTCTGTAGAAACGGATTCATCCTTGTTTTTGTCTTTATGAAGCAGACTGAGAAGAAGGCATTCAGTTGATTTGAAGGAATTCAAACTAGGTGAGTGAAGGGCTTGTGAAGACTGTGGATCATCTTGCATTTTAGGTATCCCATGGGGTCTATGTGAAACTGTGATGTAGCCACAAACAACTACCAGGAAATGAAACAAAAATTAAGATGCAACCGTATGACAGTGGACAAAAATAAAACAAAACAATGGTAAAGTGAAAAATAAGCACCACTATAGTACATATTGCATATTGTTAGTAAAGTATAAATAGCAGGTGTTTAATTCAGAAGCCACTTAAATTCTTAAGACACATGCAACAAACATTCAGTTACAAGCGTGCAAGTCTGATTAGAGGTTTTCCCATTTGATATGATATAAATAACTTTAAAAATGTTTTCAACAAACACTTAGCAATACTTATACAGAACTCAAGGGGAGAATACGTTTGGTACTGTGTTCCTAATCAGACACTTTTGAGCCTAGTTTCTATTCAGCCCTTGATGGGCCAAGCCATGTGCAATAGATGCCTTGGACTTTAGATTCTATCCTTAAAAAAGCTCACAGCATCCTTCCTAAGCCACACACACCAGAAGGACTCAAGGCGAAAAACTCCACTAAATAAACTGGTTTTAACTCAAGCTCACCTGCAGCAGATTTAAGGAAATGATTATCTCCTGGACGTAAGGCTAAACATGCCAGAGTGAGAGAAGAAACGGATGACTGCTACTCCAACATTATGGAATTGGCGGTCATTGGACTTTGGTTTGGATCTCATGCTTTGAAGATACCCAATAGATGGTGTCCCTGAACTACCATATATATATTTACTCTTTTAATGACGTCTTCTTGCTTTATTATGACATTTATTAATCTGGGAAGCATGGATCTACCTTTGGGAATGAGTGTTGAAGCTTTTGCCCTATCACCAACCCCCATTGTTTATGTAAATCGTATCCAGTCATTTAAGAGTTTAATCTGTACATGCCAATAATTTATGTATTGTTGGGGGGGGGATTTCCCCCCCCCCCCAACAATTCAATGTATTGGACCAATAAAATACATTGAGAAAACTCTGCTCTCAGTTTATAAGAATTAGATAACTTTTCATTCTAACTGCAATATTATGATTTAAAATAATTCAGTCTGTCATCTTCATATTTACTCATACTTTTAGACAATTTAATTATAGAAAGCTTGAAAACCTTAATAAAATAGTAAGTAAAACTCTATACATACCCAAGATATTCACAAATAATTCATAATATTCAAAGGTAAGTAGAGGTTCAGAGAGATTGAGAAAATAATCTGCAATTGTCCTGAATACATCTCGTTCAAATCCAATATAAGTTGGGTTATTCATATCATTACTTCTTGGCCCTAAGAAGTAGAAGGCAAAACAACATAGGCAGTATATATATATATAGAGAGAGAGAGAAAGAGGGAGAGACACACACACACACACACACACACACACACACACACACACACACACACATCAAAGCATAACCAAATCCACAATTATAGGGTTGACTCTGAAACCGCAGGGAAGAATGTTCCACAGGGTTTCCAAGGCAGACTACCGCATTTTTCTCCCACAAAGCACCTGGTAGGTTCAAAGGGCTGATCTTTCAGTGATAATTAACCCATTATACCACCAAGGTATAATTTATCTCACACATAATAATTTATAATATTTTAAATATTTTTAGAAAAAAGCTTACGACTTTTCTTTCCTGGAAGAACTGAGCTTTCACAACAAATTCTGACACATTAGAAATGTGAGAGTTATGCATATCTCATTCTTTCTTATTCTCTTTTCACTGGAAATTACTGTAACCAATTTCTAGCATTTTATTTTAGTATTGATATATTTGAAAAATTATACCTAAAGCAAAATTTTAAAACGTTCTTACTCTGACAGTATTAGAAAAGTCGACTTTTAATAAGCCTTAATTGTAACCTTTTCTTAAAGCAAAGACTATCTGATAATGTAAACAATTCTCCAATTTTTCTCTTGATAAGAGATATTGTCTGACATGAAGCATACTCTCAATCATTTAAAATAATAGCTGTACACTTTTTTCAAGCTTTAAAATTACTGTGAAAATTATTATGTCAACTCTTAACAATAAGATCTCATCTTTATTCATATGAGAAAATTGAGGCGGAATAACTTGTCCAAAATCAAATATCCCATGGCAGACCAAGGCTAGAATTAGAACTTGGAATAGGTGTGAAGCAAGAACAAGACACGGGACCTTAAATTCCAACAACCTTTGAAGTGGGTGCAATGGACCGCATATCAGGATCACCCACGAGGTGTTTATTCCTTTATCAGACCAGACCCTATGAAGATGATGAGAGAAATTTCTATTTTTTTTAATGTGCAGAAAACTCTCTAACCCTTATTGTTTTTTCACTGAGGTGTGTGTGTGTTGGGGATGAGGGAGGAGTTTGGGATGTTTTACTCCTAATTGCTTCCTCTGTCTCAGAAGACTACTGTGGAGATTGAACAGAAGTCAAATAACAGTCTGAATACTGACCAAACCCAACCCTGCCGTCAAGTCCGTTCTGACTCCTTGCCACCCTCTCAGATGGGGGTTTCCGAGACTGAGTCTTTAGAACAAACTGTCTGGTGAGTCTGAACCACTGACTTTCCCATTGATCCAACAACACTTAGCCCTTGCACCACTAGGACTCATTCGCTTAATGTCAGAGGACAAAAATGTGAGATATCTATATCTAGATATATAGATAGGTATATAGATAGATAGATATCACATCACAATAGAAGTTTATTTTCCCACAATTTGGGAACCAAAGATCAACATGTCAGGGGGCCAATTACCTCTAGATCGGTGGATCTCAACCTTCCTAATGCCGCCATCCTTTAATATAGTCCCTCATGTTGTGGTGATTCCCCCAACCATATTATTTTCGTTGCTACTTCATAAATGAAATTTTGCTACTGTTACATATCAGGCGACCCCCATGAAAGGGTTGTTCGACCACCAAAGGTGTCGCAACCCACAGGTTGAGAACCACTGCTCTAGATGCTCTGGAAGAGAATGCCTCTTCCAGCATTCCTTCACTGGTAGCCTTATCTAGCCAGTCTCTCCTGTCTCTTATCAAGACACGTGTCATTGGATTTAGAATCCACCAGGATATGAAGCCCAGGTGGTACAGTGGGTCACATGGGGGGCTGCTATCCACAAAGTCAATGATTCAAAAGATCCCAGGAACCACTTCACAGGAAAAAGAGGAGACTACCAGCTCCTGCCAAGGTTTATAGTCTCAGAGACCTAAAAGGGCAAGTCTGCTCTGCCATTTAGTTCGCCATGTGCCAGCAGTGAACCCATGGGAGTGGGCTAGGATAATACAGGATGATCTCTTCTAAAGATCCTCCACTTGATCATATTTGCAAAGGCTCTTAACATTCACAACTTCTAAGATAGGGCATGGCCAATATTTTAAAGCTAAGTTGCCACTGAACCAATGATAAATACCATGTACATAGCAAGTACCATTAAAGAATTTGTAAAATAAATAGTCATGCCACAAGAAAGAAAATCAATTTCTTGGAAGTGTTAGGAAGCCTCAAACCCCATAGGGTATTTCCTGGGGGTGTCCTATGACAGATGTTCAAAGGCATACAATGTCACCCCCATAAACCAAAACCACGGAACTGATATACACCTTAAAATGTCTAGACAAATGACCATAAATAAGTCCAGTCTAATTGGAATCATTTCCTCCCCCAAGCAATTATAAGGCACAAATAAGTTTAAATTACATATACTCTGAGGTGACTTTACAGACATCTTGGATTAAACATGGGCATAGTTATTTTTACAAATCACTTTGTTTTAGTTGTTGAATTATTCCATATTTTATTTTGGTTAGTGGTTACAGGGACCTATAAACTTCATTATTATTTTTTATTATGATTATGGATTATGAGGGAGTACCTTCCAAAAAACCTGGGATTCTTTCAAAGCTATATATTTAATTTCATTTTTTTTTTTTTACAAAACAATCTTATCACTTTCAAAGCAGTCTCCATTACACTTAATACATTTGTCAAATTTGCAATTCCATTCTTGGAAACGTTTTTTCAAACTCATCTGTTTGGATGGCTGATAGCACCTCCCTCATTTTTTCACCTCTTCCATGTTGTCAAATCGCTGTCCTTTCATGTTTCTCTGCTTTCACGGAAGCAAAAAGAAGTTGCACGAATAGAAGCCGGGTGAGTAAGATGCATAGGGCAAGAGAGGCATGCTGCTTTTTGTCAAAAGCTGGCACACTTGAGATGGCTGGTGGCAAAACCAATCCCATCTGCCACAAATCAGGCCTTTTTTTGTCACAAGCTGTTATGCAATCTTTTCAAAACCTTGAAATAGAAAGCTTGAACAGTCTGACCTGGAGGAATGAACTCCAAATGTGCTATGAGTGGACATTTTCGTCTGTTCTGGAAGTTGATGGACGTCTAGGACGGGGTGTACTATCAATCAACATTTCACCTTTATGAAGTGAAAAACCACTCATACTCTAGTTTTCCCCATAGTGCTGTTCATGTAAGCTGTGTTCAACACCACAACAGTTTCTGTGGCAATTTTCCCAAGCAGGAAACAAAATTTCACAGCTGCACGCTGTTCTCTTAAATCAGCCATCACAAAAAACAAGGTTCTAGAGAAACTGCTTTTACAAAAAAATTTACTGTGCCCAGAGAGAACCTTCCCAGGCGATGCCACTGGGTGGACTAACTTAGTGACTTACTGAATGCTTGCCTAGTGGGCATAATACATACTATGAAAGCTCTGCTCTGCCCACAGCAATTCCAGTTTTTTGAGGGTACCTCCTTTGTAGGTGGGGGAATAAAATTATTTTACATTGAAATCTAATAAATAAGGTCTTTGGTATCATTGGTATAACACTGATTGGGAAAAGAGGAAGATACAAATTCCTAGTGAAAGTACATAAGAGAAATCGCTGTAAGTATACTTACCTGTGTTGCTAAAAAGAATTCAAGGTGTGAAAGGGATGGGTGGGTAGATAGATATGTTAAAAAATATGCAAATGACTATTAAAAACCTTAGGTTTGTCATCAAAACTATTAACATGATTTGGTAAAATGTTTCTGTAAAATTCATTTTCTTTCAATTTATTGGTGGCTTTTTTTGTTGCCATATTGATACCTAGTAGACAGCAGGTGACAAGTACTGAATATTAATAAAACCCTGTTATATTTTTTAAAATAGTAACTTTATAAGACTGTGAAAAAAAGATTTTAAACTGAAATTAATAACATATACCATTGTACTATAGAGTTACTATGCATCAGCATCGATGCAAGGGCAGCAAGTTTTTACCTCTGTAAATCAATAAAACAAAACAACAAAAAAGAAAGTAATTAAGATTTTATAATTAAACCTTAACCCAGGGTATTAAACTACAAAATCAATTATCACTGATCATTGTGGAAACGTTTCATCAATGAAATGCTAAATCATGATTTGTTGATTAGTGACAGATCACTTTTTTCATAATGAGAGCCTTATTATGAATATTCAAGAAATCTGATGACGAAGCATGTTATAAAGCACCTGAATATTGAAATCATTTACAGTGTCAAGGGGACTGAGATGGGCTTTATGGGACTTCATTTCTGGATTAGCCATTTCCACGTATGGTCTATTTTACTTTGGATATGCCATTTGGATTCTCTGGGCTTCACTGAGGCAATTGGAATAGATCATACCTTAAAAATCCTTTATGATCCTGGAGTCAAGGATTTTATGATTTGTGTCGCATGAGCTATACATGATTGGCTTGCATTATTAAATTTCCTTGACATAAAAAATGTCAAGGAGTATATAGCACGTTCTACACATAAAGAAAGTCTTTTAGACTTTCCTTTAAACATCAAGAGCAATGACAGTTTAGTCTTAACAGGAATTCTTAACTCACTTTAAAATGTAGCTTGTTGATATTAAATATTATCAACATAAAACATTTCTTTATTTAACTTACAATTTGCTAGGCACTTCATGGCAGATAATACCCAGTGAGGAAGGTCATCTATATCAAAAGAAAAAAAAAGGCATTTTAAAGCAAATAAGTTGTTCTAATAACATATTTAAATTTTTAAAACAATTTTTATAATTGTAAATCATAAACACCCACCCATCAGGGTTTAACCCCATCAACCACTCCCCAGGAGAGAAGACCTGATGCTGTGCTTTAATGAGCTTGAAACCTTAGACACCCTGTGGGCAGCTCTACTCTGTTCTATGGGGCTCTGGGTTGGAATAAACTTGAGGCTGTGGAACAACACGTAATACAAGGGGTAAAAAAGTATTGTTATATTTAATATGACATAGAATTAAGTCAATTTAAAATTTATCTTTAACAATTTGTACAGGTCTTATGTTTGACTCTTCTCATAATATGTAAAACAACTAGCTACCTCAAATCCAGGATTAATTTATAAGGAGGTTTCCAAATAAACACCTTCTCTTCAACTGTTTTTCTGTCGCTAACTAGGCTTTTTGAATATTATTGATTTGAATAAAACCCGTGAACTATTCTGAATATTGGGTACTGGGGGAGCTAGCCGTTTATGATTGACTACTAGCCCAAACATTGGCGGTTCAAACACACCTACCCAGGAGTGCTGTCGGAAGACCTGGCAATCTGCGTTTGTAAATATCTCCGCCAAGACACCCTGCTGGAGCAGTTCTACTAAGTAACGCATGGGGTCCCCAGGCACCACGACGGACTCAGCATAGTGTCTGGTTGTGGTTTCATGACTAGGCTTGTATAGTCTTCCAATGGACAGTGACTGAAATATTCTGCATAAAACTAGCAATTTCTGACACAAATGCAAACACAGGTGTTTGACTTTTATGGTTAGAAAGGGTACAAAACTTAGATGAGAATATGTACTATTAAGGATGCTGTTTTAGATGATAAAAACTGGCCCAAAGCCACATTCAGATGCACCCTAAATTCATCAGAACTCAGCAGGTTTGATACATATTTTGTTCCTATAATTAAAAGTCTCAACGATCTTGCCCACAGAAACTCAAGGTCATGCATGCCAGTTAATGCCATGAGAAAGATGAGTCCATCTTCTAAAAATACATTCTGATACTATTTCTATTTTTACCATCTAAGTTCCCTAATGTACTTGACTTGAATTTTTTCCTGATTTTCTTTTATTATATCTGAAATCAATACACAAGGCAAATATGAAACAAAACACTGACTCCATAGAGTAGAACTGCCCCCACAAGATTTCTGAGGTGGTAATCTTTATGAAAGCAGATTGTCATATCTTTCTCTCAGAGTAGCTGGTTTAGTTGGGATGGTTTTATATCAATAATCTATGCAATCCAGTCTGCACCCCAATATATAGCTACAACTTTGAGGCAAACTAAAAGCAAAACCCTAGTGTGCTTTAACCACTGCATCAACACACCGGGTTCCCATATAACAGAATACAAGAAAGTCTGCCCCTTACGACGCTAGTGCTCGAGTCTGAACTTGTTATTGAAGTTTTATGTATATATTTTGACCCTAGCAAATTTGAATTTAACTATTCATGTAGGCTCCAAGAAAGCACAAACTATTCAGTTCCTCGCCCACTGTAGGTGTTCACTAAAATAATATGGTTTATTATACTTGTGTGCCTTTTGAATGTCTAGCATCTTTTTTTAAAAAACATGTGTGAATCCACCTAGAGCTAAATATTTCTTTTAATAGCATGAATAACATTTGCTTAAAATGTTCCCGTGTTGATTTAACAATAGCCTCCTGAGCATCTCCAATTAAAGAATTCGACTTACAACTTTCTACCCTTACTATATCTACAAACCTCGTTAGCAAGTTTGAAAGGACTGATTTATTTTGTTATGTATGTTTCGTTATACCAACCTGATTTGTCTTGTAATATGACTACTCCATGTTTACTTGTATTGGTCATGTTATACATTATATATTGAGGAAGTACTTGTCTTGGATTTATGACTTCTTCTAGGGATGATACACCTAAAATAGTTTGTAGGCTAAATGAAAGAACAGAAAAACAATTTTTCCTCACAAAATAAGTTGTGTAGAATACAAATGTTAAATTGTAATACCGGAGCACAAGCAAATACAGGCATCAAATGTTTTCCTTTTATTTGAACAAAACCTCTAAGACTTGATATTTACTATCTGTTTTAAATTATATTGCTAGCAATAATCTATGGAGTCCTGTATGTACCCAACTATACAACTACAACTTTGAGTCAAACTAAAAGCAAATCATATGTAAATATTCTATTTCTACTATACTAGAGCTTTAGCAAGAACATTTATTAAGAAACATTATGCAGATGAAATTCTATATCTTAAGGACTAATCTGATTTTTCTTATGTGCCCATTTTGATGAAAATGTTACTCTAACAATCTGAACACCCCAGGAACTTGGTTATAGGTTCCTTTTAGCTTACTAGATCAGTACAATATATCTCCAAGCTTCTTCTACATCTTCTTGTCTTATTTCTCTGTTATCAACTGTGTTTTCTTGATCTTCATTCATTATTTCATACATCATTTTCTCTGTATTTTCCTAAAAAAAAAAAAGTTACTTGGTTTAATGTTATATATAAATTATGGAATTATTGAACAGACACTAGACACTGTCTGCCGTATTTAGTACTTATATCAGAATCAGTCCGTTGTGGGAGTTATGCAAGGTAAGGGTCGCATGAAGACTCATGTTGAATATGGTGATGGGGGTTTTCATTTGGTAGCTGTCTCCTTATCCTGCACGTCAATTTAAAACAAAACTTGTTTAAAACATAAATAATGTCTCAAGTATGCCTCGTTACCATTTTAATCACCAATTCTTTGTCTTCCAAACATATCTTCAAAAAATTTAAAATATAAAGTGAGAGATTTTAGTACTGGCCTTAAATATTTAAAAATTTTTTCTTAAAAAAAAAGAAAAGAATTTTCTTACAAAAATATATTAAAAATTCACTGATGGTTAGTATTATTATTAATAAATTATACTTAAGTTGGTGACTAGTAAGACTGATTTACCTGAGAGGAACGTAATCCATGCTTTTTAGGAGTTCTACGAGATAAGTTTTGTAATTTGAAAATATTATCTTTGGACAAGTTCTCTATGCTGTTTTTTCTCAGTTCTGGATGCCTTCTTGGAAGAGGTTTAAGTGGAGAAGTTGCCGGAAATCTAGTTTAGAAATAACATGCAATTAATTCATGTGAGATCAGAAACAAATTTTTGGAGCCATTCAAAAAACACAGAAACATCCTGATTTATACTACCTATAAATGGAGATGATACAACATAAATCAATTTTCCCATGAAATCTTTCTCAACTGTTTTAATATTTTCCTGCTTTCTTTAATATAATGTATATACTTTAACTCTGTACTTAAAGCTAAATTTGACTCACAGTGAGCCTACGTGGCAAAGCAGACTGCCCCATAGGGTTTCCAAGGCTTTAATAGCTACGGAAGCTCTCTGCCATGTCTTTCTTCTGTGGAGCCTCTGGGTGGGTTCGAAGCACCAGCCTTTTGGTTTGTGGTCTCGTGTTTACAGGCTGCAATACTAGAGCTCCTTGATTTCTGGATAACTCAAGGTTATTATTAGGATCAGTTCTGTTGGAGAGCAATTTCTTACACAGAAAACAGCACTACAATGCTGCTTTTCTGCATGCCTTGGACGAGCTATCTAATTTGTAGATTTGCTGTTGCCATTTCCAGGCTTTACTCCATGTTGCTCCCACTGATTATAGTATTCTTTCCTCCCTTCGTTTGATAATAAAATATTCCAAAGACATAAAAGTGGGAGAATACAATCTAACATCCATATATAAACCCAGAAACTAGTGCAATTGTTAAAATTTTGTCACAGACTTTGTTTTTTAAAATGAAACCTTACAGATCATTGTTCCCTAGTATTCTTTGCTTATTCCGTTTCATCCCTCCCTTCCTAAGGCAAATCAGTAAACTATAGTTAATGTATTTCCTTCTTGTTCATGGTTTTACACTTTTAGCACACATAAGATATGGCTTTGAGTTAGTTAATTGTGCCAGCCTGGCCGATAATCACATGTGGTGCTAGTTGAAAGGCGGAAGGATAAATGGGTGGTGAAGCCTCGCCTTTCTAGTTCTCGGGTCTCTTGTTTTGTGATGGTTGCATCGGGTGCAGCTGCCTTAGCAGTTCCCTGCTTCCGCTTGCAAGATTGACTTCCTACAAGACATCCCCAAGGAGAAGCTACATGGACCTATCCCGATGCAGCCCTGGGTGCTGGAGCAGCCATGTGGAGACCCCTGCCAGCGCTGAGATGCTTGTTCGTTCACTGACTCAGCTTTCCTCCTGCAGTCAGCATCATTGCCTCTGTTTTGTGAGCTGGAGGACTTTGTGGACTGGTGTTGGGTTAATGGGTTAATGTTGGACTTGTGGGCTTGGGCAGCATTGGGTTGGGATGTTTTCGTGATGCACATTTTCTTTGCATAAAACTCTCTGATTCATGAGTTGCTATGGATTTGTTTCTCCAAAGTACCTAGACTAATACAGGCTTAATGCTTACTTAGTTCACATTTTGGTATCATTTATCATACATTAAATTTTTACATAGGCGTTAGTGTCCTTATAAGTTCTGTTGCACCCTAACATCATAAACTATTTTCATACATTTTCCCTTAAGAGATTTAGTTTTTGTATTTAGGTATTTAATCCACATACAACTTATTTTTGTGGCAAATATCAAAATGTAATTTTATTCTTCTGCTCATAAATACCTAATTGTACGAACACATAAATTGTAGGGCTTTTCTTTACCCCTTGATTTGTGAGATCCTATCAGTCTTATAATATTAACTTCCCCTATATGGGTACACTTATTTTTTTCCTAATATTTAATTGTTTAAGTTTAACTGACGCCCACATATCAGGTTTGGCAATTCTCCTGGCTCCAGTTATTTAAAATTGCATTGGGTCTTTACATTTCCAAATAAATTTTAGAATCTGCTTGTCAAAATCTACAAGAAATTAGGGATTTAAATGAAAATGCACCAAATTTATAAAGTAATTTGGGAATGATCAAATTATCTCATTCATGAATAATTTTTCTGACTGAGGACTTGCACATACTGGGTAATTTTATTTCTAGGTACTTTGTAGCTTTATTACTATTCTCAAATATGAGGGTCAGAGACCAGTTGATGAGTTTTTACAGAAATCCAGGTAAGAGAGACTACTGATTAAAAAATTAAAAAGAACATTCATAATAGTAAGAGAGATGGACTATAATAGAAAGATATTAGATAACTAATTAGAATTAAGTTGTATGATTTGATAAGTTATATTGTAAAAAGGGAAAAAGCAAAATCAAAAACCCAGCAAATATAGGAAAGAGAGTCCCATTTCCTTATACATGGAAGCTGTAATTTAGGTTAGAGGAAGAGAGTAATTCTAATTATGCTGTTTGAAGTGCTGAGCAAGTAGGCATTTAATAAATGGTTCTAAAGCTCAGGAGAGATATTTGGGTTGGAAATATGGAAGTCATAGGAATGGTCCATGAAGACAGGACATGAGCTTGCCCATGGTCAAAGGTGAAGCTGGACACGTTCTGGAGCTTGAGGACCACCATTAAGCTTACAGAGTGAGGGCGCCCACAGAGATGACCGAGGAAAGCTTTGTAGCAGGTGATACAGAACAGACTATTCTTGTTGGTCATACAGCAGCTTACTTAAATAACAAAGGTGACATAAATCACTTTTGACACACAGGCAAGAATCAATTTCTAAAGCATTTCAACTAAAAAGTACCAATGCTGTAGAGAACAAACAAACAAACAAACAAACAAATAAAAGATGAACATTAGAATTCAAAGACCTACTTTAAGGGGTTATATAACAAGAAATAGCCAATGTGTGTGAGAGAAAAAGTAACTACACTGGCCTGAGGAAGTGAGTCTGCAATGCTTCACAGAGAGCATGATGGGCCAAGGGGGGAAAAAGTATAAATGGACTAGTCTGACCAATGTGCTCAGTATTTCAACGTGGTGAATACTTTCGAAGGAGCAAGATTTGTTGAAGCATAGCCTCAGTTTCCTCATCCATAAAAAGAGGCTAATATTTAAGTCTAATTGACTAGTCTAGAGATTAAATAAGAAAATACCTAAATCACCAAGCAAGCTTCCTGGTAGATGCTACTGGCTTAATAAACACTTTCTAGACTATCTTAGATTATATTAGCTTTCATCTTGCCTAAGAGCACCCAAAACAAACTACGATTGTGTTGAATCCAACTGACAGTGACTCTATTTGGGGTTTCCAATGCTTCAAGATCTATAAATTTGTCTTTGTAAATCTAGAATCCATGAAACTAACATTATTAATCAGTCCTTGAAATGTGACAGGGCTTTCAATATCATAGACTGGTAATATCGCACTCTTTCCACCCAACTCCCTATTTTGTTATGTGTATTATTTCACATTTAACAGATTGAATTTTAGAGCAATAAACTTTAAGCTTACTGATTTTTCTAAATGGTTTTAAATAGATTACGAACAGTAACAATTTTAAAGGAAAACACTACTTCTGAAAAAGCAGAGTGAAATAAAACGTTATTGGTTAAGTATTTCATTTAACAGTTATATTTTCTGTTTAGTACCTGAATAGTTGATTGTTGTCATCAAGGTTTTCTGATCCCCATCTGCCTTTGATATCTTCAATTACATGATTCTTAAGAAATTTTCTCAGCAGTTGGATAGTCTGTTGCCTTGTAACTTCAGGACCAAAATTGCTATTATTTCTTAGTAGGTCATAAAGCCAGTCCACTGCTTCACAAGCTGTGAAACAATTACCATGCTTTTTAAAATGTTGCCTATGTTTTCTTAGAGGCATTCCTGCCCGAAAAGATGTCTTAACGTCATTCCACTGCAGAAAAAAAGAAGGGTGAGGGGGATAAACATTAACAAATGAAATCTCTTAATGAGTGCCAATAAATTAGACAAAGAAGTCTTTCGTTGCATCTAATTACAGTGTAAAAAAGGAGCTGATACCAAGGGTTCAAGTAGAAAGCAGTTTTGAGAATAATGAGGGCAACAGATATACAAATGTGCTTGACACAATGGATGTATATATGGATTGTGATAAGAGTTGTAAGAACCCCCAATAAAATGATTAAAAATAAATCACGAAGTTATTCATCTTATTTGTGCTACATAAAGTTTTATATTTAATTTTATGAATTCTAATACTGATTTGATTAATTCTAATACTGATTTGATTAATTCTAATACTATCACTATATTTTTCTGTAATAGTTTTTACTAAAAACATTCCATAGGATGGTCAACTAATTTTAGAAGTTTAGGATTAAGGAAGGAGAACTGCTGTGAACCTACTTGTGGATCCTCAGTAGGAAAAGCATGTGTCCCTGTGGTTGCTTTTAATTAAGGCCTCATGGCAACCCTGTGTGTGCCTCGGAATTGTGCTCCATGTGGTTATGAATGGCAGATTTTTCCGATGTTGATCATTAGGCTTTTCTTTAGAGGAGCCTCTGGGTAAACTTGAACCTTAACTTAAAGTTAGAATCAATTAGTGATGGTGGCACCGTGCTTTGTATTTATTATGTCACAGTATTTCTATGAGTAGCTACTAGAATTTCTGATTTTATACATAAGAAAAACAAAGCATAGAGAAATCCAATAATTTGGCCCAGGTCACACAGCTAAGTGTTGAACTCAGGCCTTCAGACAGGTTTGATTGACTCAACTATTAACTCAACTATGATGCTGGTTAAACAAAACATCAGCAGGCAATGCTTTATTGGCAAAAAACTTTAATATTAAAACAAGTCATATATTTATTTACTTATTAGTATCACTTATATGAGGATTACTATTGTGGATTCAAATTCACCTTGAGGCTCCTAAGAAAATTAAGTAAACTGCAAATGTATTCCATATTTAATGACATTGTTACATACCTACATTTTTTAAAAGATATCAATTGTTTTCAAATTGTCATCAAATTAGCCAAATTTGTTTGTGATAGTTCTAACAGTGGACTATGGAATTAGTGGTGCTAAAAAAGAAACACATCAGTTTTTTAATTGAAAAAATCCTACTGGGTCAAAAAATTTTATTTGTGAACCCTAGATATAAAACTGCTAGCTTTACTACCATATGCAACCTATGCGAGCAGATAATCAGAGAAGCTGAATTATGTGAAAAAGGATGCAGCATCAGAAAAATTGGAGGAAATCTTATTAACGCCCTTTATTAAGTCAATGACGCAAACCATGCTTGCTGAAAGTGAGGATTTGAAGTACTTACTGATGAAGATTCAAGAATGGTTTACAACACAATGTAAAGAAAACCAAAATTCTCACAACTGGACCAATAGGTAACATCATGTGAATGAAGCAAAAAGATGGAAGTTGGCACGGGTTTTGTCTTGCCTCAATCTACAGTCACTGCTCATGGAAGCAGCCATCACCAGATCAAATGATCCACTACATTGGGTAAATTTTCTGCATGAGATTGCTTTATAGTGTTGAGAAGCAAGGTTACTTTGAGGACTAAGTTGTACCTGACTCAAGCCCTGGTATTTTTAATCCTCATATGCATGTGAAAGTTGGGCACTGACTAAGGAGGACCGAAGAAGAATCAACGTGCATGAATTTTGGTGCTGGTGAAGATTATTGAATAGTACCATGGGCATGGTCAGCAGTTTGCAACCACCAGCAGCTTCAAGGGAGAAAGATGGGGCTTTCTACTGTAACCAGTCTCAGAAACCCCCAGGGGGTGGGGGGTGTGTGTGTCACTGAGTCAGCTTTGGCTAGATGGCAGTGTGTCTGGTTTTTTGGTGTTCCGGAACCTGAGGGTGCTCTCAAACTGCCAACCTTCTGAATAGCAGTCCAGTGCTAAACTGCACCACTCAGTAACTCCCCAAATTTCTTTTCATATTTCTTTTAAAAACATACAGTGAGCTGCTTACTACTGGCCTGGGGACATAGAAGTGAAAATGGCTCTGTCTCACAGGAACTCCATTGGGCAGAGTCGAACTGCCTCTGTGGGTTTCCAAGGCAATGAACCTTTACAGGAGCAGAAAGTCTCATCTTTCTCCTGGGGAGCTGTGGGGGTTTCAAACTGCTGACCTTGTGATTAGCAACTCAAGTTGTAACCCACTATGCTCTCAGGGCCATGCAGTATAGTAGTTTGTTTAACAGTGAGCTTAAGAGTCAAGCTGCATGAATTTGTTACTAGGCTCTAGCTCTACTACTTATTGCTTAATATGACCTTTTGGGCAAGTTATTGTTCTTCCTGTCTCAGTTTCCTTATTCATAAAATGGGGATAACAGTACTTACCTAACTAGTTTGTTGTAAGGATAAAACTAATATACTTACTAGTAATCACTCAGTAAATGCTTTCCTCCACTTTGTCTACTTTTATTCAATGTAATCAATTTATAAACTATGGTGACCAGATTCATGTTCCTTCCAGTCCTAGATTCTATCACTTACAGGGATGAACACAATCAATACCTTACTGAGCAGCAGACTTCTTAGAGAGAACATTCTACCAGGAGGATCGGAATTCTCCCAGGCCTGCCACTTAGCATTTATGCAACTTCAGGGAAGACACATGTTTTGTGAGCTGCAGTTTCCATACTGGTAAAATAGAGCTAAAGTACATGCCCACTGCGAGGATACAGGGATGCAGTATGTAAGTGCTTTGAAACCCTAAAAAGCACCGTTTTATTGAAAATCAAGCCATTACAACTAGGTAGAACAGAATAGAACTGGCTTCTAATAATATAAAGAAGGTATAGTCTTTCAGAGAAACCGACTGCCACATCTGTGCCTCAAGGAGCCTGGTGGGTTGGAACCACCAATCCTTCTGTTCCCAGCCAGTGTTTAACCACTGCACCGCCAGGGCTTCTTTAAATGTGCAAAACACGGGATAGCTGTACACAACCAACCACTACCAATGGCTACTGAAGAAAATCGAACTCACAGCCAGGGCGTAGATCCCACTCAGTGACCCTGCAGGTGCCGAGGCTCTAACTCCTGATGGAAATAGAACGCCTCATCTTTCTCCCCTCTGAGTGGCTGCTGGTGGTTATTTATTTATTTATTTTTGTAGAGATGATTTTATTGGGGGCTCTTATAACAAACAATCCATATACCAATTGTATCATGCATATCTGTACATATGTTGCCATCATTATTTTCTAAACATTTACTTCCTAATTGAGGCCATGGTATCAGCACTTTTTCCCCTCCCTCTCCCCCTTGATGAATTATAAATTATTATTTTCATATATTACACGCTGTCTCCCTTCCCCCACAGTTTCTGTTGTTTCTCACCACCCCCCTCGCGGGTGATTATGTGTCGATCATTGTGATCAGTATCCCCTTCCTCTCCTCTTATCCTCACCTTCCCCCTCCCCTCCTGGTATCGCTGCTCAGTTTCTGTTACTGAGGGGTGAAGCTGAACTGGATCGTGAGCTCTTATCTGTACCAGTGTACAAGCTCCGGTTTAGCCCTAAGTGAAAGGCACGACTGGGGTCATGAGAGTGGGGGGTGAGGAAGCCTCAAGGAACTAGAGGAATATTGGGTGTTTCATCGGAGCTATACTGAGCTTAGTTGACTTATCCCGTTGAGTTGATGCTGATTCACAGCGACCCTACAGGGCAGGGTAGAACTGTAACTGTTTACGTAAGTAGAAAGCCTCGTCTTTCTCCCCCAGAGCCCTGGAGGTTTCGAACTGCTGTCCTTGCAGTTAGCAGCCCAACGCGTAACTACTAAACCACCAGGGCTCCTGATAAAGACTGGTAGATCCTTCCAAATACATCGTCCTTATCTATATAGCTGTTAAACGCGCCAGGTCCAGCAAAATGATGCCGTCACATTAGCCCCTAATGTGGTTCTCAACCTTCCTAATGCCGCGACCCTTTAATACAGTGCCTCATGTTGGGGTGACCCCCCTCTCAACCATAAAATTATTTTCGATGCTACTTCATCAGTGTAATATTGCTACTGTGATGAATCGGGGGAACCCTGTGAAAGGGTCGTTCGACCCCCAAAGGGGTCGCGACCCACATTTGACCCTACTGTCTGATCCTGAAGGGGTAAAGGCGTGGGAGCAGGGACAATCGGTATGATGTCCAGCAATCGCTGGGATCCCCAGAGAGGGTGCAGTTCAGCTTCTTCCTGGCTGCACTCAAGGGCCTTGGCGGCAGGGACCCCTGGTGGTGCGGTGGTTAAGCGCTCGGCAGCTAGCTGCAAAGTCAGCAGTTCGAACCCACCCGCCACCCGTGGGAGTAAGGAGGCAGTCAGCTCCAGTATAGATGGCCGCGTCACCGCACGTTATGGGGCAGTTCTACTGCATCCTCCCAGGTCGCCAGGAGTGGGGATGGATTCTCTGAGCGGGTGTTTCTTTTCCATCGAACCGCGGGTCTTCAGGAGCTGCCCCTCCCACCAGGCTGCATTTACAAACGGCCCTTCTAACTGGCCCCTAGCCCGGCTGACAGATCTCGCCGTCCGGCGGCGACTTACCAACTTGGTGGCCCGATAAGGTCCGGGAGGCACACCCGGATTCTCCATTCTGCCCGACGGACCCAGAGTCCGTCAGGGTCCGGCGCCGTCCATGACTCGCCACCCGGAGGTGGAGACGCACAACCGTTGGCCCCGCCGCCGATTTGAAACTCCAGAGGCGGCGCTGATTCGCGGATTGGCCGGGCCGCCGG